TCAGGCAGTTTCCTGTGGCAGGAAACTTTTTCACAGATGCAGGAGAGGAGGCGAGAGAGAACGGGGGACAGGAGAAGGAGCTGATGAGGAGAGAAGAGGAGAAAGTCTGAAGAAATGTTTAAGGCAGAGGAGGGTGGAGAGGTGAAGGAGCGTAGAAAAAGAGGAGGTGGTGATGAAGAGGAGGACGGAAGGAAAGAGCAGAGGTCAGAGGTTAACATGTAAATAAACAAATCAGTGGTTCAGTGGGACAAAAGAACTAGAGGTGAACGGGTTCAGCTTGGTCACTGATTGGGTGTCAACAGACCCGTGTCATCACCTGTTGTCACGCTGAATCCACCAATGAGATGATGGTTCTGACAGAAAGTACTGAAGGTCATGTTGGGGTGAGTGAGGGCGTTATACCAACATGGTCTATCATAGTTATAGTTTCTATTTCCAGCGTTCAGAGCAAGTCGCAAGGAGCACTGGAGAGTTTGGAAGGATCACAATGACGTTCAAGGTGAGGCTCACCTACAGGTTGCTTTATGTAAGTGTCCTGTACCAAACAACAACAACAACAACCACAAGTCAGCAAAGAGCACTAATGGGCATGTACTGTTTGCTCTAACATTTTTACTAGGAGGCAGTAATGAAACTTTAGCAACTATTTGGCTAGATTAGGCAACTTAAGGATAAAGCTGACATTCTATTGTAGACTATAATTTATCTTTTAGTTTCAACAAATCATGTAAAAACACCCAAAACAACAATGTGTTAGTCCATCTCTCACTTTCTCACTTTTCTACCCTGTCTGGCGCACTCAGCCCTAATCCCAATGGTTCCAACTGAAGACTTAGGTAATAGTGCATCTGTTGGGGACTATTTTCAGCAGCGGATTAATCCATAATTATTTGTATTTGTCCACATATTTGGGGCAGTAGGACGGTGTATGTGGGATTGCATCAAAATAAACTACAGTGTGAGTGTTCAGAAAGAAGGAACATCACTAATTTAATTTGATTTAATAGTTTCTGCACAACAATGGAGCGCTAGGCACAAAGAAGGATGAGATATTAGACTTTGGACACACACAATACTTGTTACTAGGATAAATTAATTGTTGATTTCGCTCTGCACCAGACAAGAAAAATATCGAATGTGTGCAGACTCATCATTTAAGTTACAATTGTCTAAAAAGAGTGACTGAGGAAATTATTTTCTTCAGGTACATAATCAGCTCTGATTTCTGTAAATTAGATTTGATGAAAACATTCATTCAGGACACATAGCACCAAGCTAATATGGACAATGAATGGAACGAGTCTTCACACACACACACATACAGAGTGTATGCTCTCTCTGCAGAGTGTGGTGTTTGTGTTCTTCCACTCTGATCCTTATCTGGTTATCATTGGGTCAGAAGATTAGCTATAGCCTGCTTTCAACCACACACACACACAAACATGACCTGTTGTTGAAGGATTTTTCAGCTGCTTTCAGCAACACTTCAGGCCAAACAAAAGGTGACTTTACTGTCGACTGCACTGCTAATGGCTGCTAATGGGGTCACATGTAAGACACACACACACAATCAGGTGAAGCTTTAAATCTGCTCCCCTAAAACTACGATACTCACAAAGCTATGAAAGCTATGTTTGCTGTAAAACACAAACAGTGGCATATTTTACACGGGTATTATCCTTCCTGAGAGACATTCAGGTGGACCTTGTATCTTATTGATGATGTCAGTCACGTGTGGGATGTGTTGGACAAAGATGCATCTGACACTTTTATTGAACTTGCAGTGAGAGAGATCAACAATAAAATCATTGATCACTAAACCTAATCAGGGGTCGTCAGGTTTGGCTGGTTCACACAAGCTGCAGTACATACAGGCATCTGCAGCTCTTCATCTCAAATTCCTCACTGATGCCGCTTCTTCTTGTACGACGCACTTGTATGGTGACAAAACTAAATACAGAAGAGTTTCAGCAATAAATTAAGAACAGTAAAAATGCCACAGTCTCTACCCGTGTCAACAGAAATTGAAGTTGCTTTTTTAGAGACTGCTTTTTGGGGGATGAGATGTGGTTTTAGGGTTCAGGTTATAATTGGGTTAAGTTTAGGGGTTAGGGTAAGGGTTAACGCATGTCATTGTGATGGTCATGGTTAGGGTAAGGGGCCCTTAGGGATGCCCATAGGGATAGAGGAACAAACACGCTTGTGCATGTGATAAACCAGCATACTGTGATCTGCCATCTTGCTTATCAGCCATGCTGGAGGAGTGAGGGAATGACTATACTTGCAGGTTACACTGTAAAAAAAAATAAAATCTCTCTCTATATATAACCTTAAATCACAAACTTGCCCTAAATCATTGCAGCTGTTGCAGATGTTCTTCATTCAGTAGTTTGTTTCAGATTCACATTCAGTCTTTAAAAAAAAAGCTAAACAAAAAAACATTATTTTACCTCTAGCTGAAAATGAATGAATGAAAGCAAATGACGGGACACTGGAAGAGTTAATGTTTAACAGCTTTAAGTTATGAACATAACATCCTGACCACACAAACTTTCATACAGGTGGGGAATTAACTGGAAACAGATGCATTCCAGTGTGTGTCTGCAGAAGTATTCTCTTCCTGTAACTTTTCAACTGGGAATCTCTCTCTTTCTCTCTTTTACACACAGACACACACACACAGCGCCAGTTGATTGGTTACAGAGAGGTTTTATGGTGTTTGTTTTGCTGATAATCTAATCTGATTGGCTGACCTCTGCTCTGCCTGGATATCTCAGGTTGTGGTCGCTTGAACAGACGGCCGCAGACATCATACCACAGAAAGTTAAAGGTCATTTAAAATATATTTAGTTCTCTTTAGGATTTAGTTTGTTTTTTAAATTCATGAATAATTCTTTTTAATAACATCAGATGTTCTAATATAGTTATTTTCTGTCACTTGGAATCCTCTGTTTGTATCCCGTTTCCTATACCATCAGCAAGCATTGATTTATTTTAACCACCAAGACAACATTCAGTGGTTTCTGTGTCTAAACCTAATGTAAACAATGGTGACACCAGCTCACAGAGTAGGTAAACTCTCCTCATGCCTATCCTGAAGTGGGGAAGACTGGTTTCCAATTTTCATTTCATTTAGCTGACGCTTTTTATCCAAAGCGACTCACAATTGCCATATATGTCAGAGGTCACACATGTGTCTTATCCACTGCGCCATCACCAAAGACTCAAAGACAAAATAAACGATGATATTTTTAACAATATTTCACTCATCATTCTTCAACACATTTTGTTATGCTTGTTTTTATAATTATTATTGTAGTCATTTTATGCCTTCATTTGAAAGCTGACAGTGGAAAAATTAGAAGAAATTAGGGGAAAGGGAATGACACACAACAAAGGCCCCTAACCTGACGCAACCCAGGTGGTCCTGTGGTGGTCCTATGATTGAGCTTTGTGCTTTGCTTTCATCCTAAACTAAACAAACAATAAATGGATTTTGTGACTCACAGAGAGTCCTGTATTCCCTCTTTCATATATTTAGGAATTGAATCCTGGTCAGTAGTGACTGTTCTCTGTTGTCTCTTCAGTGATCCATCTCTCTGTCTACTGGAGATCTTTGACAGATGACAGTGCTGATGTCTTTATGCTTTAAACAGTCCCTCTTCCTCTAAGCCAAAGGGAAAGTGATATGCTTGAACCTTCCTCTGCCTGATTCTCTCTCAGCCTGCAGGATATTCTGGGGACCAAATGAAAAATAAGCACTGTGCATGCTGGGAAAACATTCAGCTCAGTGGATCTGCAACTTTGGAGCTCTAAATGGTGTCTGCAGGTTTCTAATCAACCACAGAAAGCAGCTCGAAGAGAAGAGACACAAATATATGGTTTATACAGTATTTACATCTAAAATACATCATAGAATATTTTCCACTGTCTTTGGAATGACTTTGACAGTATTAGTATAGTACCTCCTGAGTTCAAACTTAAAAGAAAGCTGTTTGCCCTTTTAAAACAATAGCTGATCATCCTCAAATTTACAGTAAATCTTTGTAATTTGTCAATATTACAGTTAATCAATCAAGTGTGCATTAAAGCCCAGGATATCTTAAAGTTTTACTCTAGAGTCTACATAAAAAACAATGTGAACAACACATTTGCAACTCTTTTCCCTAATGAACAAACCTTTAACTGGAAAGGAATAACTGAAATGAACTCCTGCCATGATTTGCTGGAAAAGTTTTGACCTCTGTGGCCTGTGGTTAGAGATGAGTGCTCTAACTCTTCATAATTATATTTGGGAATGTGGGTTTCATGCTTCTGAATTTTGGGCATTCACTTTCTAGCTGGTTGAATCTTCAAGGAGTGTTTTTCCAGAGTTAAGACAACCACATTGTTTCTTTTCCAAGGACATACAACAAAAACAACGGTTAGTTTAAAGAAGAGAAAGCTGTCATTGTTGGATTAACTTGGTTGTGGACACATCAAACCTTGGATTTAAAGAATACACTGTAGGAATTTACTCTTTACACTCTGAGCAAAAAGCCTGTCTGCTTTCCCAGAGAGTTTAATGCAACGCTGAGTAGTGTTACTGACTACTGACAGCTCTGAAACTGTCACCGCATTTGATGTTTTATCTTCCTATGTGTATTTTTATTTTTGCAGTCAGAAGCCCAGATTTTACGTCACTGTGATGGCGTATATGTTCTGCTGTGGACTCAAGTCCTACTGGGATTTAACTTAGCACAAATTTTCCAAATGATTTAAGAGCCCAGACTACAGGTTGCAATGAGCAGACTGAAAGGGGGAGACAAGTTTTAAGTGACAGAGAGGCGGTGTCATGTTACTTTAAAAGCACTCCAGAGGAGTTTCCTGAGGGCAGGAGGGATTGTCTTTGTGTTGAGTCTGGATAGATTTGCATATGACCCTCCTCCTCCCTTTTGATTGGCTGGCGCTCCACTAGCATGAGGAAACCCACATCCAAACTTTCTCAGTTGGAGCAAAACTTTTCTTAGTTGAGGAGGATGAAGTGAGAGGCTGGATGCCAGCAGCTGTATGAGTGAGTAACAGCAGCAGGCAGAGAGAGGCTGGTAGTGTATGAACAGAGTGAGGATGATATCTTAATTATAGGCTAGAGGGTTTTTTCTAGGTATTTCTTTACAAAACCAAAAGTTTTCTTCACTGGTTTGGTGGTGGTGGTTTGTTTTGAGAAGAAACTTATTTTGAAATTTTGATTTCATCATTTTATATAATGTTTGTTACAGACAGAGAGGATATTTTTAAATTCTATTTCAAAAGAAGAGACTTTTAAAGTAAGTTTAAATTGTAAAGTAAAAGAAAAAAACTTTTTTTTATCGTAATTTTTAGAAATGTCTGTTTAGCTAGTAGACAGGAGATTACTTCACATCATTATGCTGCTGGCTCTGCTTCTGGTTGTGAGTCTCTGCTCTGACGCTCACTCCTCTGAGCTATCATCAATTACTATCCAGTACCGGGTTTGGGAGGAGCAGCCGACGGGAACCCGGGTCGGTTGTCTGGTGGACGACCTCCGGCAGAGGGACGAAGGTGGTCCACTGGAGGATTTCCAGGTGGTGGAGCACGGAAAAGCCCTTCCCTTCTCCGTCAGCAGTCGAGACGGTGTCGTCTCCACCCAGGGCCGGCTGGACAGGGAGGAGCTATGCCGGGGGTCGGACTGTGCGAACTGGCTTTCAGCGTCCTCTACAGGAAAAGTGGTGCTGTGAACTGCCTCCGGGTTCGTGTGGAGGTGATGGACCAGAATGACCACAGTCCCAGCTTCTCCAGCACTCTGCAAGAAGTGGAGATCTCAGAGACAGCTGGTCTCAGCATGCGGATCCTTTGGACCGGGCAGTGGATCCTGACGCAGGGCCTAATGGCCTCCAGACCTACTCGTTGTCTGTCAACCAACACTTTGCTCTGGATGTGACAGGCGCTCCAGGTGGGACAAAACAGGCAGAGCTGGTGGTGATCAAAGAACTGGACAGGGAGGTTCAGGCCTCATTTGACCTCACCCTGGTGGCATGGGATAAAGGGAACCCCCCGAGGTCTGGGAGTACATTAGTCCGTGTTAATATCCAGGACTCAAATGATAACAGCCCCGTGTTTGAGGACAGCACTCCCACTGTTGAGCTACCTGAGGATACAGCCCGTGGGACAACCGTCATCAACCTCAAGGCCACTGACCCAGACCAAGGAGCCAATGGGGAGGTTGAGTATTCGCTCAGTAAGCACACACGTCCAGAAGTACATAGGCTCTTCTATGTAGATCCTCAAACGGAGCTGTAAGTCTCAAAGCTCCTCTGGACTATGAGGCCCAGGACTCTTATGAAGTAATCATACAGGCCCGTGATCGTGGCCCCAATGCGATCCCCACACACTGCAAACTGCATGTCAAGCTTAGAGATGTAAACGATAATGCACCAAGGATACACATGACCTGGACTCCACCAAACTCACCTGTGGCAACTGTGTTGGAAGGAGCACTAGATGACACCTTCCTTGCTCTGGTGATGGTCTCTGATGCAGATTCAGGAGAAAATGGCAAAGTGAGAGCGCACATTCAACAAGGATCTGGCCCTTTTCGCCTAAAACGTATCCACGGTGACAATTACATGATTGTTACCAATGGCAGCCTGGATCGAGAGAAGGTAATGCAGTATAACATCACAATCCTTGCCCAGGATTATGGAGATCCCCCACTGTCTTGTGTTAAACACCTGCCTGTCCTTGTTCTGGATGAGAATGATAATGCCCCAGTGTTCTCCAACTCTGTCTATAAGACTTCCTTCAAAGAGAACAACGTGGCTGGCTACCATGCTCTCAAAGTTGAAGCCCACGATGTCGACCTGGAGCTCAGCGGAAGAGTATCCTACTTCATACACAACTCCAATGACGTAGAAAGTTACACACAGTCTTTCTCTATCCATCCGACCAGTGGTGTCATAAGCGTAGAGCGTCCTTTAGACTATGAGGAATCCCACACCTATTCTTTCATTGTGCAAGCCGTTGACCAGGGTCATCCACCTCTCACCAGCACGACCACTGTGCAAATTGACATCCAAGATGTGAACGACAACTACCCAGTCATCAAGGAGCCAAAACCCAGAAAGGGTGTTGCTTCTCTAAGTGTACCCGTCAATGCAGACAAGGGGGAGATTGTGACAGAGCTGGGGAATGACATGGAAGAGGGATCCACCAGTTTGCCGATAAATAACTCAGTCAGAGAGGGACTTGTTGGATTCCTCGCATCCACCATAAAGGCAGAAGACCCAGACTCGGGGGTGAACGGACAACTCAGCTACCTCATCACTGACGGAAACCCCTTTGGACTGTTCTGGTTGGATCAGACTACAGGCCAGCTGTTTGTTAACACCACCAATGCTACTGAGCTAATTGGGAAAACCTTTAAGGTGAACATTGCTGTCTCTGACATGGGCAATCCCCGCCTAGACACCAAGCTGACTCTGGAGGTGACTTTCATAAATCTCAAGGACCATCTGAAGAACTCATCACCTGGTAACCGCGGACGACTTAGCTTCACCATGATGATGGCAATCTGCCTAGGTGCCACCTGCCTGCTGCTTCTGTTGGCTGTTGCTTTGGTGACAACGTTCTGCCGCCCAGAGAAACGGGACAACCGGGCTTACAACTGCAGACAGGCTGAGTCGACCTATACCCGCCACCCCCGGCGCCCACAGAAGAACATCAGAAAGTCTGATATCCAGCTAATTCCCGTCATTAGAGGGCGAAAGGAGGAGCCAACTGAGGATGAAAGTGAAGCCCAGCCCCTGGCTCCGTCTCCACTGATGTCGGAGGAGCAACAAAATGAGAGACAATATACCTTAACGCCATCAGTCATGAACACAAGTTTACATTCCCAAGGGTACCCAGAAGGGGATGTCATTCAACCTGTCACCCACCACTGCAGAACCCTTCTGAAACCTGGAAACATCGAACTTGATGGCAGTTTGCCTCTGACACCTGCCACATCATACCGCACTCTTCGGAAATCCAGGAACCCTTCATCATCCTCTTCAGTCTCACATTCAAGCACCTTGAAGCGTCAGACTCGCACTCAAGGGGAAGAGGCGGGATCCCTGAGTTCAGCATCCCAGGCCACTCTCAGGAGGCCAAAGACATCGGAGGGACGAGGGGGGCACGATGCAGAACATCAGCAGATGCTTCGAAACCTGGTCCGACTGTCAATGGCTGCGTTTGGAGACTCCATTGAGCTTTCCTCTGCTTCCCCGGAAGTGCAGGTGAGTTCTAGTATCTTACTAATTTTCAAGGATCACATCAATACACATGAATTCTTATTCCATAGTACCTGTAAGTTAACTTATTTAAACTTTGTGTCTTAGTTCTAATGTATTATTGTAATGTAGTTCTAACTTGAGTAAATCAGTTAAATTAGCCACCTAAGTCATGTTTTCTACTCACATTTGCATTAACATATACTCATAGAAGCAAATTAGTTGAGGGTTTAGTTCTTTTTTCATCATATATACTGTATATTAAAATGTATTCGTGGTTAAAATTGTTGTTTGGTCAAGAGACAAGACTATGTGACTCATCACATTCACAGAAAGACAATTAGTTTCCATCAACTGATGGCATTTACAAGGTGAGAAATAATTGTTTCTGGAGAGTTAATCCAAATACAATGCATGCTGGAAAGCGTGCAATGTATGTATGTATGTATGTATGTATGTATGTATGTATGTAACATTGTTTAGTAAATGAGCGCTCAGTTTAAACTAAATTTTATGTCACATGGCTTAAACTTATGATCTTCCGAAGTTCTGAAGTTGTTTTCAAGGCAGAGAGTTCACGGCAAGTTGATTTGACAAATGTACCCATTTGCATTGCACTAATGATTTAACTAAACCTGCATAATTATTTTTCATATTTATATCCTCCACCATACATTAAGGCGAATGCAACGCTGAAGGCTCTCATTTAAATGTCATTTACTTCCATCTAAAATGTGTGATCACATTTATTCCAACATGTGCTTACAGTTAGTATTGGAGTAATTAAGTCTCCCCCTGCAGGCTTTGAGATTAATCTAAAGCGAAGTCCATTAGAGAGTAGAGAGTAAAGAACCCCCCTCCGACACACACACACACACACACACACACACACACACATACACACACACACCACCACAACCTACCCCTCTAACGCACACAGACCAGCTTCCCTTACATTTTCTCAGCAGCCTCTCTGCTTTTTCAGCCTTCTGTATGATGACTTACTCAAACAGCCTGAAGGCTGGAGTTGGGTGGAGGTGTGTGTGTGTGAGTGTGTGTGTGTGTGTGGGGGGGGGGGAGGGTTATAGCTAGCTGACGGATGACTGAGAAGCCAAAAAGCAGCGAGTTTATTCAGGTGCTCATGTGTCACAGACAGAATTCCCCCTCGAGAAACTGACAGTCCTTTTTACTGAATATCACATATCAGATTTATATTGAAACAAAGAGGAGGAGGTGGGGAGGGGAGGGTGAACTCATATGCTCTGTAGGATGGGGGGTCTGAGAAGGGTGAAGAGCCAGCTAAAGTAAGCTGTGATATGTTTGTAGTGTAAACTAACACCCCTCCGACATGCTGCTTTGTCACTTACAAATGACCCAAAACTCACTTTTACTGAGCTGAGCTGCTGCAGGGGGAAAGACAAATAGCTCAGGCTAAAAACATCACTCAGAGTGCAGAGCAGGATACTAAGGCCAAAGCAGTCTGTGAGCTACAGATACTGTATGTACACAGATTTAACCATTAGAGCAGGACTGCAAACACTACCGTTTATCATAACATAGTTTTGTTTAATCCATGTGTGGTTAAGTTTGTGGCTGCATGGCTGTGCTTTATCAGAGGGCAGAGGTTTAAAGATTTTGTGAGAAAGAGTGTGTGATATCGGCCTGTTGCAAGCTGTACATCATATTTAACATAAATTAACTAGATTCTAGGTTTTGCATTGCGGTACACAACAGATAATGTGTCCCTCTCCACATAGTCAACACCCTGCATTAAAGGTACTCTATGAACAATACAGATGATAAGCTGTAGTGTATTTTGACTCAATCCCACATACAATGTGCTGCTGCCAGAAATACCAAATATGTATTATGCGCAATGGAAAATAGTCCCCAACAAATGTACTATTTCTTCTGTCTGAGATGTGCTAAAAATTACAGTGACCAGCCATTTAAAACAAAAAGTGAAACTATACATTTGGTCTACAGAATTATACAAATAATAGCCTTAAAAGTTTGCATTAATACAGAAATCTGACAACCTTATGGCATAAATAATTCTACACAAAATCTGTCTAATTTTACTGACATATTTGTTTCATGTGAGGTTTTAAAGTCATATTGGACTGGTAAAACAAAGAGGAATTATAAGTATGAGAGTCCCTCTTCAGTGACCAAAAGAAACCATGGAGCAAACAGGACAGATGTTTGCTTAGAACAGAAACTCCCATGGAAAATAGATTTGTGACTAATTATCTAAGCATTTTACTAAACTCCAGCACTCTATATGTGGTAACTTTGGAAACATTCTGTGGGATAGGTGGAGAGTTCTGTGGGATTGAACAATGCTTGACCAAAACCACTGTTGGGCTCTGTTTTAAGAGGAAGAGAACCTATTTAGAACTTCAAAACTACCAATTATAATTAATAAAGGATCAGATACAACTAAACACTCTGAACATCATCTTGGCATCAGAAACAACAGTTTTAAACACTCCTGAACTGTAGAAACGCTTCACGTGTTAAAACAAAGACCCGCGTCATTGAGGGCAAATGTTGCTGCCAACGCCCAGCAGACAGTGAACAAAGAGCTCGACCAGGTCCGACATCCTCACGTGAATCCCATTAGAGAAAGGAAGCTGCCCTTTTCTTTTTACCCAGCATCCCCCTCTCCTCTACTGCCCCAGTCGGCCCAGTTGGCACTCCTCTGGCTTCAGACGTTTCTCTCCTCCCTTGAGGTTGTGGAGGAAGAGGCCTGCTGAACGCCTGTAAGGAGGGGGATTCACTGTTCACCGCCACCTTAACGTGCACACACACACACACACACACACACACACCTCGCCCGTATTTCAGAGCCCATCCTAGAAGGAAACTGACCAGAGAAGAATAGGCATTTACGTAGAGACCATTTCCTGTCACTGCAGCAGCATGCACGTGCAAAAACACAAATGTCAAGGCTAAAACAAAGTCATATGTTAGCATGCAAGTACGCACACACTGGGGAAAGTAAGCATGTGTGTGTGCTTCCTCCCTGGTGCACGGTGTGTATCCGCTTTATAACAGAGCTGTCAGCAGAAAGCTGTGAGCAGTGAGACGGACGCAGCCGCTCAGTTCTCACACTGTAAAACAAAAAAAGAAACACCCTCTGCCTGAGCGTCGCTGAAATCAGCTGCGCTCAGTCCAGATTAATACAGTCAGCTCAGTTTGGTTAGGCTTAGGCACCAGAACTACTTGGTTTGGTTTAGGAAAAGATAGTGGTTTGGGTTAAAAAAAAAAAGTCAGCATTGACTTTTGGTTTCACATGGGATACAAACAGCTGGGATTTTGTCTTTAATTGGCTGGATCCAGCTCTATGGACAGGGCTACCCTGTCCACTGCTGAGGAGCACAAGTGAAAATAAATTTTTAACGCAAAAAAACATTGCAGTTGTAGCAGCAGAATCCAGGCTAACTACGGGAGTTTGTTTGTCCAAAAGCTCAGACGCTCTCTCCTCCACGGCTCCCCATCACTCAGCAGCTGTCTGTCGGCCAGCTGAGATTCAGGATCTCTGCTCTGCCTGGTCCTTTCCAAACAACCCTCTGAAGCCGTCGGTGACGTCCAGACAATCTCGACACTGATAGGCTATCGCGACACGGCATCATGCATGTTTCTCGCATTCCGCCCCCCAACCCTCGCTTCGCATTTGGTCTGAATGCACAGTAAGAGGTCCTCATGGGTCCAAAAAGTTGTACACGGTTCAAAAAGTACCCATGACTTGTCAACCAGTTCATTAAAAAACCTTAGGATCATTATCAGAAATCCTGGATTTAAATTTGTACTTAAGTTAAGCAAACCAGAACTCCTCCGTCCACATGTTGAAGTGTCGTTGAGTAATTTACACTCACTAGGCCAGTGTGTCTTGCTGCCGTTGGAAGTGTGTAAGAAGAGGGTGAATGAATGCAAACCTGGAAATCCCTTTTGCATTAAAGTAGTCACTGTAAAAAGGTTTTAGGGATGTTCATGGTTCATCAGCTCAGCTGATGATGAAAATAAATTGTCTATTGTTAGATAATTTGTAAAGTCATTATTCTAACCACCTCTCTCTTTCACCTTCCTCCCTCCTCTTCCCCCCTGCAGCAGATCTCCCAGCTCCTCTCCCTCCTCCGGCAGGGTCAGCTGCAGCCGAGGCCCAACTTCAGGGGGAACAAATACTCTCATCGCAACGGCAGGTCAGTCTGACTCCTACTCTTTTTCCTGAACTCCAACATCAATATATCCGTCTACCCTCCATCGTCCAGAGTACAGACACAACAAAACCACAATAAAGCCAAACCAAAAGGCTCCTTCAGTGGATAATAAAAACATGGATGGATAGATGGATGGATGTTTAGGTATACAGTGAATAGCAGTGCAGGAAAACCAGGATTTTTTAGATTATATGTAATTTACTGTACTGTTTTTTTCACTGTATGTCATGTAGTGAAGTGGACCTCACACTGCCTGTCTCATGTGGTTTTCAGTCTGAGGTTTTCAAAATGAAAACAATATCACTACAAAGCAGCTGGGTTTAGTTTGTGGCTGTTTATCTTGTTTTTTATGCCATTGTTTTCTAGCAGATATGATGCCAAAGTGAACATGTCAAACAATTCTTACAGATAACGAAATTTGTGGCTCTAGAACAAAATCTTAACTGTGCGGACCACACCCTCAACCTGCGTTTGTTGAATATTTTGTCAATGTTGGGTAATTTTTCAAAAGTTCGGGTCAGTGCACTAACACAAGTCACAAAACACAACCACGGTTGCTTCCTGTTCACCTTGTAGAAACTCCAATTGCATCTGGACTTCAAAACAGTCTGAAAGCCTGGAGAAATAATCTTGATGCTGATTCTTTCCTCCTCTTTTCCGTCACCCTCTTCATCAGCAGAGGTTTGTTTCAGAGCCAGCTGGCTGCAGGTTTCAGACTGTGATCACTGCTGCGCTCTCTGATCAAACCAGGCTGCCTTCCTCTGATAGCAGGACAGACAGACATTAAAAGGGGAAAGCCACCTATTTTAAGAACTCACAGATGTTTTTTTTTTCCCCTGAACCGGGACTGTTAAAGCTGGGGAATTTATTTCAGAAGCATTTTTTCATGAAAATATGTTTTGGGGGAGTGGCTTTGTAGTGAGGCCTGAAGGCAGGGGGTCAGATTTTTAGAATCTTTCAAAATCAAGCTGTCTCTCGCTAGGCTCTCCGACATTATCTACGCTTTAAGTTGTTTTTTGTAAAATCAGACATCTCTACATAAAACATAGGTTGTCACCAACCAGTCAGCTCTATGCAGAGCATGTGTGGTTATTTTTTTTAGCAGCCTGCTGGCATTTGCATGTGATTGCTTCAAGATAAACCCTGTGCTGTGGTGCACTATTAAATTGGAAATTGCAGACTGAAACAGATTTGGTTGTTTACAGGATGATCCTCTTGAGATGCGTTGTCTCATTTTCAAGATGGTCCTGACATGTCAATATTACATTATTTATCATACGTCTGCTGCTTTCAGATGTTGAAAAGAGATTTAAAGACATGGAGCAAAAGGTTTTCATGTTGTTGTTATTGACGGTATTGTTGACACAATTACCACATTACCAGCAGAGAAACAGACGTGGCTTTAATATTCTTGTTTCCACCAAAATGCCTGCAATTCGCTGTGTTCTCCTCAACTACCTTCTCACCTTTGCGCTGTGCACACTGACACAAACAGACAAAGAGGCGCAATATCAAAATTCAAGATCAGGTAAATAGCCAACTGTCAGAGCACTGCTTATGCTATAGTCACAGCGCCACAGTGGAAATAGAGCCTTTTGGTAAAATATTAACATCTTTCTCTTTCAGGATAAACGCAGAGACAGTGCAGTAAAGCTTCATGTGCATTAGCTTTTTAGAGGGGACTTTTTGTTGATATGATGAAAAACAGAAGTTGTAGTAGATAAATGTCTTCCTCAGTGTTTCTGACCAACTGACCTCCTGTGACTGAAATAACAGCAACAGACAAACAGGACATGAAGTCCAACGCTCACTGTCACAGGAAGAGTGTCTCATAACCCCCAAAGTGTTTCAGTGTAGTGTTCAGGCAGGTTAGAGCAGCTCTATCTGAGTGATTCAGAATCTCTGACAGGAAGCAGCTACCTCACCGTCACTGTGGCGATGAGATTAAATCTGACATCATCTTGATACACACAGAGCACAGTTTCAAGGCAAACACAGACATCCCTTGCTGCATTTGTGAGGTCATTTGCTGATCTGCCACCACTATGGATATAGTCAGACAGTAATATCAAACTTTTTGTAGATGTCATTTGTAAATATTTTGGAACATGCTGACAAACGATGTCCCGCTGACAGACAAGGCTCATATGTGTTTATTTGGAAGCCAATGGCAAAGGAGCTATTAGTCTGGAGGACTTATTTTATTCATGCCAGGCCATTATTTCAGTTCTAATAATTGTTTGAATACTGGCACGGTACTGAAAGTTGTTCTTTAACAAATCCATGACAAAAATCCTAAAGTAACTAAAACAAGTGAAATTATCTGACCTCACAGTCAGATAAGATTTTAATCTTTAATACCGGAATTAAATGAGATTTCAGAGTGACTAACTCGTCTGTGAGCGCACCTTTATCTGACTGGCACTTCCTGTCTGAGCCTGCCTGCAGCTACACAAGCTGATACTACAGGTTTGAATGTGTGTGTGTGTGTGTGTGTGTGTGTGTGTGTGTGTGTGTGTGTGTGTGTGTGTGTGTGTGTGTGTGTGTGATCAATGCATTTGTCAGGATGTTTATCACCATCTTATCTCACTACGCCAAACCTCTGGTCTAATCTTAAGATTTTACACTGGAGTTCTGTGTGTTTTTATGTACGTTCTTTGTTTTTATGTGAGAAAAACTGTGACATTTTAAATTCTTCTTTTTTTAGGTTTTGGACACTTCTTCACGAATGATACATTTTTGCAGTACTTGTCTCAAACACGGATTACATTTCTTAATCTTTCTTTTTCTAAAACAAATGTTAGAGGGATGGAGGGTTTCATTTACACAAACCTGACAAATTTGAAAATTCGTCACAAAACGCAGTTTTATTTAGTTATATAGGCCAAAATCATGGACTACATAAACAAAACTGACACTTGACTTTGTTGGTCTAATATTCTAGTCCATCATTGTTTTAAATGTTGTTGGAAAAACAAGAATCTTTACGCTGTGTTTGTTTTAAAGCAAGAAAACTTGCTAATTCAGATGGCAGTAAACACTCAAGACTCATACAGAGAGCCAATGAGAGTCGAGTGATGAGATTCAGACAGTCTGACTAAGGATCAATGAAATACTAAGGAGGATTACTTCCCTCCATGTTTTGGGGACGTGCTTGTTGGAGAAAGGTGCCATTTGCGATGTTATCTGACACTTGGTGTGTGCGTCCTGTGCAGATATGGAGGCCAGGACTGTTCTGATTGGCAAAGCACCAAAGACAGCGGACACGGTGAGAGTGAGGCTGGAGATGTGGACTGGGAACCAGGAAGAGACTCACCGATAGACCCACAGCTAGAGGAAGGGCTTAACAACCTGCTCAACAACCATGGTACACACACACACAAACACACACAAACACACTGATCGAAGCTCAAACCATGATAGTCCATGAAGTGGCTTAATGTGCTACTTTGCTCTGAACTGAGGGCAGAAATGGGGCAACCCATTTGGTCAGTTGCTATCATCACATTCGGATCCATGCAATAACACTAGCTAGAACCCTCCTTTATATAATTAAGTAGCTACAGAAACTTCACCAATAATGCAGGAGTTGCAGATGACATTTAAAGAACATACATGAACACTAATGTCTAGTTGGAATCAGAGCTTCTGTTACCAGGCCATGCTAACTAGCCTTCACTTTCCTAGTGAAATACAAACTTTGGAGTACAATGGGTTCTCTCAATTGTTGATGTTGTAAAGGGAGGGGCGGCTTATCACTAATGGTTGTGTGGACTTGCTTTGTATCAATATTTAGAGGCTATAGGGCTACAGACATCCTCCATATCTCAGCTGTTACTCAACCGATACCACTGAAAATGCCAAACCAGAGGCTTGAAGATTATGCTTTTTCCACAATTATGTGTGTGCAAAAATAGGTTAAATCCTCTTGTGAGACATGGGAAACCACGCACAATATCTGAAGCATCATTGTAGTTTTCCTTACACGATTGGTATTTTGCGTCTCTACAGTGTTTTTCTTTTAACTCACCGAGGTTAGCTGCAACCTCCCGGTTAAACTCTTTGATACGTGAGGACAAAAGCAGCTGAACTTCGACCCCTGCAGGACATACAGACTGGTCACTTACAATGGCCACACACTGGAATATGTTCAAAACAGGACGAAAGCAGGAAATAACACAGTGGCAGGTTATTCATCCACCCACTTGCTCCACTCACCTGGGTTTCTTACTACAACTCATAATATTTACATTGAAACTACTGACATACTGTTAGCAGGTAGCACGTTAGCAGATAATGTTATTAGCATATTCAAGTTGTTATAATATTCAAGGGTTATTATTATTATCAAGTTTTTTTTCTTTTTCTTTCTTTTATTTTATTAATCCCTTGTTCTCTGCATTCACCCCATCCTATTTAGGAGTAGCGGGCAGCCATTGTGCAGCGCCCAGGGAGCAGTTAGGGGTTAAAGGCCTTGCTCAGGGGCACCTTCAGCAATGGTTCATGCTAGACTTCTGCTCCATGTATTTACTCGTTAATGGTGCGTTAGGATTATTATGATGTTGATATTGGTTTTAACATTGCTATTATCATGAAAGTGTTTCATGTTTTGGATAAGACTAATTTGCATAAGACAGTTTTGGGACTGGTTAACCCCACGATGTGCTGTATTTGTACGTCAGGGCTTGAAGTAAGAGTCGGGCCAGTGGACGGGTCCATGACTGTCTTAGTTGTCATTTCAGTTCACCATTGACCACCAATTTCTCAAAGTCTAACTAACAAGTTTTAGCTACTAAAAATCAAAAAACACTCAGCCTTAGGCTTATTGTCTAGCTGGGAGGGCCAGCACTGGGTTTGTACGATGTCCGAATGTGTACAGAAGATGTGTGTGTTTAACCGTTTCTTCCTGGTATTGTGGCGGTCAGAGCCCAGGGGCGAGCAGAGGGGTTTACCAACTGATGATGGTAGAGCGAGCGTCACTTTATGAGAGGAGAGAGAGAAACAATGCGTGAGTGGGAGTATGTTGTGTTGTGTGTGTGATGCTTGACTCACCTCTACCCTGCAGGCTGTATTATCAGTGTAACTCACACTAGAGTACTATGACAGCTCAGTGTGTGTGTGTGTGTGTGTGTGTGTGTGTGTGTGTGTTGTGTGTGTTTTGAAGCTTTGATGAAGCCGTCGCAGCAACACATTCCTCTCTATGTCTCTCCTTTATTTTTCTGACCTGTTAACAGCCTCTTCTTCAATACTGTCATGATGAATCATACACAACCCGGCCCTTTGTTGAGGTTTGGAGATGATATTGCAGGTGCTGAGAGCATGCAAGTTGAGTGTGTGACTCTGTGTAAGAGGATTTGTTTGTGTTTTCTTCTTTAGCTGTTGAGATTGAGGTCGGGTTCTATTGTTAAATATCACAAGTTTATTATCATATTTAGGATACATATTCTCTTGCTAGTCATCCTACTATTATACTACTAAGTATAGTGTGTGTGAATCCAAAGCATGATGTATCTTCTTCCTCTGTGCCATAGAGCTCCGAAAACTATTGAAAACACCATAAACACACACACACTTAAAAACTGCAGTGAGCCGCTGTTTTAGGAAATTATTGAGACATATTTAGGAGTTTTTTGTAATGATTTCTCTAGTGGAGCCACAGACTGACTAACACTGTTGTGCTTTGTAGACAATAAGAAAAACAGAGAATAATGCAAGCCTTATCCTTTAATGTACATATCTTTTTGTACTTTTATGGTGCAATTTAAAGCTGAAACCCATGTGTGTTTGTACAAATCCAAACTTCCAACCTTAAATCTTGGGATAAGATAAGTTAAAGTACGTGTGTATATTGCTGTGTATACTGACAGCTGGTCACGTCTCATCTTCATGTACTTACGTGAGTTTTATTGTTCTCACGATGATGCACACTGTGAATTTATGTGCCAGAGATGTAAACCAGCCTGAATCTGATTCTCCAAATAAAATAAGGGGTCAAGGGAGGTTTAACTCACAGGTTAAACACCGGGACAGACATGAATGTTGGTTTTAAATAGCAGACTTCTTATCTCTGAAGGAACTGCAGAAACTCGATGCGTTTAGTAATTGAAAGAGCATTTGGTGTTTAAAGGATCTGTGGTGAAAATCTACCAAAACAAAAGGAGGAAAGAATGGGAGGGGAGGATTAACTCCGGGGGCGGTCTGTGCCACACTGAGAATATATGTGTGTGTGTCTGTGTGTGTTAGTAAGTTAATTCTCTGCATCTGGTTGTGGTTAGATGAAGGAGACCGCAGCCCTTCAGCAGGCTGATCAGTCTGAGCTGAGAGACTGAAAACCTTTAGGCTAATGCATTAATCTCATGGCTGGAGTTACTGGTTACGCTGTTTATTCAAATTTTACATTAAACGTGAAATAAAACTCTAAAAATCACCATCTCAATGACATCGAAACAGTTTCAGAGTATTTACTAAATCTGGAGAGGATACTTTTACTTACAAAAAAAATAAGGAATAGGACTAGTACTTGTACTTAAGGGAGACCTTTTTCGATTAAAGTACTTCTACTAGAGCCTGACCCATGCAGTGAGGCATGGATGTTATTACATGTTGAACTATATATGTTGGCTGATAAGTAACAAGAAATTGCTGGAAAAAAAAATGCCAAAGAAACTTTAGTTTGAAGTAATTTAGAAACAGTGTCTCAATCGATCAGAGAGCGCTGACTCTCTCTGAAGTTTATTTTTCGGCTGTAAATGTCTCACTTTTTCTGTCACGACCCCCTTTCAAAAGCCGAAGAACATTCATGCCCCCTCACTACAAGTAAATGGATTTCATTCTTATCAATCAATAAAAATATTGGGTGAGCTACAGATAAAAAGGAGTCCAGTTGAATTTCATTGAAATGAAAGAAATGACTCAGGTCAGCATCATAGCATCGGCAAAGTATTTTTTTTATTTCCATACAAAAATCATGTTCATTTAACTTAGTTCCATGCATCCATGCCCCCCCCTGCAGTGGTTCTATGCAAACCCCCCCCCCCCCAGTTTGAGAACCACTGTACTATAGTCATGTTTAAAAACAAATAATAATGAATTTAAGGGATCTTTATCTAAATATTTGTTTGTGGTATGCTTATGTTGAAATACTAATATAGATTGATAAATGAAATGTTTTAAAATCTCAATAATCTGTATTGGCACCATAAAAGCAGCATGTGTTGGGCTGTATTAATTGTGACTTTAAGGCCCCGTCCACACTACTGCGTTTTTACAACGGCGAAAACGAAGACCTAAAACGGAGAACTTTGCATATGTGCATGTCGCCGTTCACTTTGCAACGTTTTCCGCCGCCACAGTTAGTTTGTAAACTAAAACGGAGTAGCCTAGTGTGAATGGGGCCTAAGTGAGGTTGTTTGGTCTGTTTTCTCTCATCTCACCTCCTTCCTTAAGTAATCTTCCACATGCTGAGAATCTCTTTCATGGTTTTTAGATTAAATTAGATCAGATGAAATTTAAATAGCTCCAGACGCAACCAGGAAAAACAGGACACAAACAGGATGTGAAGAGGATAAGGATCAGAGATGTTAAACATAAATGATCAGAATTATTTCATATATTTTGTCCAGTGGAAAGCATGTTTTACAGTAAAAGAAGAAATGAAATGAGACGTATAATCATCTTGGATGAGTTTGTTTGTGAGAGAGTTGGTGTGTTTTCGCTCAGACACACCCAGTGTTTACACCTCTGACAGTGACTAGAATGTCAGTCTGGAGGCGGCATCCCGAGTTTTTTTTTTTTAATGGTGGTGTGGACGTGATGTTTAGCCGTACGCTCGGAGCGCGCGGGACACCATGGATGGCAGGAAAAGCCTGTTGACAGCAGCCAGATAAAACCACTGTGTCGTTTCCTTCTTCTCTTCCTGCCTCATTCTCGGCCAGCAGTTAGAGAGAAACTAAAAGGGGAGATTACTGTTGATCTGATCTGTAATCTGTCCTGGAGAGTAATAGCAGGAGAGGAAAACTATCACAGAATGTTGTAAATTATTCTCTTTGCAGTCTTTTTAGAGTCTTGTTTCCCAAACTTCTTGCATCATATATATTTTAAAATGACAGAACAGAAAGAATGAAAGAACAAATTTTAAAATAACAAAACCTGAATTTTTGGACCCGAGAGAAGACTTGGAAGATGATCACAGGCAAGCAGCTGCAACTGCTTTCATTGCTCACTTGCCCTGTGTACCCGAAAGACTGCAAGCATATCCAATTTGGGGCAGATCAGAGCTGGATCCTCCCTCGCTGACACCAGACTGTCGCCTTTGAGAGCTTCAGATTTTCCACAACATAAACATGGCAACACTCAGTTACTATAATGTTAATTATACAGAAAAAAAAACTCAGAAGAAACAAGCTCTACTAGTTTCTCTTCAGCTTTCTTACATTGTTGTTGTATTTTGTTCTGCCGCTGAACTTAATCTTAAACTTTAACATCCTGATACTTTCCTCCCACATATCATGTGCACACATGCGTCTTTCAGACCCATAGCTTTCATTTCTGAGCACACAACCAAACGCCTGCTAGCATCCCCTTGGACCAGCTATGTAAGGTACACTGGTTTTGGCAGTGTGGCTTAAAATGTAATGTTTGTCTTGAGGGCGGTGCTAGAGAGAGGGTCAATGAACATCTGGTCAGAAGGTATTCAGGTATGTTTTCACAAAAATGCCCATCGCAGGTACCAAGGCTCTTGATTCTTGGTCTTGATTGCAGGTTCAACCAAAAGTAAAAAAAGGTCGCTGGCAATTTATCTTTTCGTCAGTTCACTCACTGATTGATCTACACATGACATGCAGTTCAAACACCTCATGTGGATCTCTCTCTGCAGATGACGTCTTCTCGCAGGTCAGCGATCCAGCCTGGATGGCCAGGCTCTCTCTCCCACTCACGGCTGACTACCACGACAACGTTTTTGTCCCCAATGGGCTTCCGTCCCCTGAGAGTGAGCTCCTTCCCCGCGACGGCCTGGATTCCTCATCCTTCTCCACCTTCGGTAAAACACAAAGAAGGAAAGTCACTACTACAGTGGCAGAAGTAAAAACTACTTGATGACTTCATATAAACTAAAAATTGCAAATAACTACAATAAAAAAAAAAAATGCATTCTCATTTTTTAAAAGGTCACCTCTTGTGAACAAACAGCTTATTTTCGTACTTTTTTTTTTTACACATTTATTCAAAATTAATGAAATTTTTTTTGTCACCACGTGTACAAATACCTGACCATATTTTCCTTACAAAATTAATTCAAAGAAATGCAGACGTTAAGTTAGTTTTACATTTGCAATTAATGGTAATCTGTATTACCAATCTACCAATACGTTTCTTGATTGGCCGATCAATTTTTCTATGATCTATAAAATGTCAGAACTGTATTTTTATTTTTTTTAAATGTGACTTCTATTTGCTTTTCTTGTCCAACCAACAGATAAAGTTTATTATCATGGCAGACCAAGAAAACTAAAGAAATTATGCACAGATTTTGGGCATTTCTGCTTAAAAATGTAGTCAAGTCTTTAAATAATTACTCTAATTACAGTGGAACTCCCTGTCCTCTCCCCCCTCTCAGGTAAAACTCCAGAGAAGGACGGCCCACTGGGTGGAACCCTCCTGTCTGAGGTCAGCACGCTGTTTGAAATGCTGATGACGCAGAAGGCTGACTCCCACCCCGGCCCGCGACCCGATGTACTGTACCGACTCTCTGCAGCGTACCGACGCTCGCTGGGCCTGGACGGTACCGCCACGACTGCTGCAGGCAACGCACCAAAGACCTCTGGGAACGCTGAGAAGAGGTTGGGCCTGGCTCCATCCTCAGGACTTTATCAATAAGTCCATTCTGTGAACACAGGAAAAGACTGAGAGCTGAGTGATGCAGCTCAGATCAGGAAGTTACAGAAAAGGTTTCACAAGTTTGTGTTTCGGGAGTGTGTTGGGAATTTAGAGGCATGAGGTGATAAAAATACTCTAATGATTTAAATGCCATGATAAATAGTTTTTTTTCAGGGTGAACATGAAGCAGATTTTTGTCTCATTTTATTAACATGAATTTGAATGCTCGGGTGCTTTTGCTGTCCATCCTACGATTCTCACAGGCTCAAACACTGGAGAAGCGAAGTGATGCATGTTGGGGATTGAGCGTTAACAAACATTCAGGCTATCCAGACACAAAAACTTAGTGGCACGACACAGAGGGGTTGAGGAAGTTTAAACTTTTTTAAAGGAAATGGAAGCGGAGTTGTTCTTAACTGCACTCAACTTCATAAAAGAGATTTTAACAAAATGGGAAAAAAATGTTATTATAGCAGGAAATTGCTTCCCAGGTCTCTGCGGTATGACTTCAATGAGCTGTGATCACTCAGGAAACTCCTTCTCAACACATCTATAAAATATAGACTCGAGAGACAGGCTGCTACGTTTGAATGCGTACGTGTGAACAAGGTGCATCTTCTCCTCAGTCTTCACATAGTATGTCTGGTTGCGTCTTTCCTTTGTTTGTTTTTTTACATCCCCTACAGGCTACAGTGTCCATTGCCCCCCAAAATACTGAACATGCGGATCATGTTGTTCAAGCTCAAACTGTCAGGTGTGTAAATAAAATTTTAATCTGGGGAGTAGCTGTAATATTCTGATTTGGATCAATGATTGGACCGATGGACAAACTGACATCACCATCCTCAGACCGATGTGTTGTCAGGGATCGATCCTGTTAAAATGACAGTGCTTGTTGCAGTTTTACCATCAATAAGTGAGGAAGCATCATGCACTTTAAGTCAGGTTTAATTTACAGTAAACAGAAGGAGTCAGGTAGGGCGGAAGGAGAAGAAAAAAAAAGTCTAAAAAGAGAAACTGGAAGGACGGCTAAGACAGATCTTGTTTCAGAATATTTACTCTGAAAGACAAGTGAGGTGCAGGAGAAACAGAAACTTTACGTCTCAACTCAGCCACATAAAGCCGGAACAGAGCTGATCCTGTTTGGAGTGATGGAATGCCTGTCAGAGGATGTAAAAAAGTTGGCTGTAGTTTTGTTTTTTGTCTGGCAGAAAGCAAGCCGGCGACCAGAAGGATACGTCGCTTTGTCTTTTTGTTTTTCCTCAAGACTAAACAGAAACAAGTTGAATGCAGGGAAGAAAACGTGTTTGTTGACAGCAGAGCAGCTCAGTCTGGACCTCCCCTGTTCACCAACTCTGAAATCCACCTCCTGATAGTAAACGACTTTTAAGATCACTGTCTAGGTGTGCTTTTTCAGAATGATTTTGGCAACAACTCTTCAGTCCTCTCTTAAGTTATTGGTTTAACTGCTATCCTAAATAGTCTTATTTTTAGCTTTTTTTCCTGTATTTTGCAAACCAGGTGAACAGCACTTTGTACATAAGTATTTTGTAAAACTTTTTGTATCAAGAAATCTTTTATGAAACATTTACATTGAAAGTTAGTTTTGTAGCTTTTGCAATAAAGTGTGTATCATGTTTAAATGTTGTTTTCCTGTCATTTGAAGTGTAGAAATTTAAACTCACAGCATTCAGAACTTTATTGGAAAAAACTCAAATGATATCAAGTATGGCTGTGAATCCTCCTGCTCTGCTGCCTGGCGGAGACTGTGCGTCTACAAACATCTGCTCACATTATGGGGACTCGCCTTCATTCTGTGGGATCAAACATTTGGTCTCCACAAAGTTAACTGCTTATTTTGAGATGATTATTTTTTTGGCAAAGGTTACCATGATGGATGGTTAAGGTTTTGGTGAATCTCCAAATAATGAACAGAAAGGCAATACAATGTTCACACAAGTGGCAAAATGCGTTAATGATAACTGCTCAGATGTTTCCTTTGTGCAGAGCGCCATCTGATGTTTGAGAGACACATTACACTCAGAAAGTTAGACAATCATCCATAAAAATAACAACAACATCTAGTGGCAGCCTCAGGTAATGCATGTTCTTTAAATTATAAAGGTATTTCTTTCAACATCAAGGTGGGAATGATTACTCAGACCTACTACTGCAGTTTTATATCATGAAGCATCAAAGTGTTCACCGCTGTAAAACCGATGCAATAAGTCTTCACACTCAAAGAAAAAAAACAAAAAACTTTCCTGTGTATTTATTGGTTTGTAATGCAAAAGAGTAATAATAAATGCTTTAAGTTTAATAAAGCTCTGGGACTTTGTTCTTGTTTTTGCTGAGAAAAAAAAGAGATTTGAAGCTTCGGGGTACTAAACTCAGTAACCGCTGTGATATAGTCAGTAGAAAGCATAGGAGCCTGGCAGGAATAGGGCCAAAACACTATAAACATCACTGATTTCAATCTGCAGTTTTAAGGCTAATATTATTTTTATTGTTTCCCATTGGATGAAACCGCCATTGAATCAAGGGAGTCTGCTGCATCAAAACCAAACATCACTACAAAAACACATTAAATAAGAACACGTACAAGAAACTAGCCTGAGATAGAACAACCAAGCAAATTAGTCTCTGTTAAAAAGTACAACAATCTGAAAGTATTTATTTCTTTGTTTTCTCCACCTTATTCTGCCCTGCCACATTTAATACCATAAAACTTCAATTAATAGCCCGGGCTTTAATTTGCTTTAATCACTGACCTCACCCTGTCTATATTTGGGACAGGCCTTTAATTCCTTCCTAGGTGGAGAATACTATCAAATTGTTTATTTATTCTCTGTCTGTTATGTTGTTTATCAAACATCATAACCGACAGAGAGAACGCCCCTTATCAAAATACCATTAGCCTACCTTAGAAAGGAAAAGATTACCTTGGTTATTTCAACTTGGATTCATTTTTATGAAAAATAAAACCTTTTGATTCTTTTGATTGGTGGAACCTAATGGACTAGAGGAATATAAATAGTCAAGAAATGAACACATATGCTGACCGCTTCAGAACGTCTCTCGTCTCGTCTCGTCTCTCATTTACCATAACATTACATTAAACTGAATGAATTTTACTTTGGTGCTCATGGTTCCTGTAAAGTGGCTATTGAAGTTATATTGCCCCATCCGTTGTCAGGCATAACGTGGGTAGATGAGAAGTGGTCAAAGGTAAGAGACACATTAAATTATTTTATCCTCTCCCAAGGAGTTGATGGCACAGCTATGAAATTTAAAAAGTACCAAAGCAATAATTATACAGCTTGAAATTGGGTCATGCATACAGAGGGCAATAAAATCATTTTGAAAGGGGATGTGAACCCCAGCCAGTCGAGCTGACAAAATCATTCAGTGTGGGCGCAAGTTACCAACCAACCAACCAACCACCCAACCAATCTGTGGAGACTACTGGACGCATTACTGGCTTGGGAAGGTCATGCAGCCTCAATATTATGGAAGGTAAGCCTCATAAATATTGAAGCATTAGGACTTAAAATTCAACCAAGCAGTCCCACTAGTCAAGTGAGTGGTGTTGAAAAAAACTTTCAACATGTGCATGGCATGTGAGTGTTGTGTAAAGATAGGCTATCCTTTACATTTCATGTTCTAATCATATTTAATGCATTTATTTTTAATATTTTGATGTTGTATATTTTTAACTCGTGAGTTTCTTTGAATAAATATGATTTTTATTCTGCTTTAACTTTTGCTTGTTTTGTGTGCCACACATAGGTCTAGTTTTGCATTACACAAAACATTAATTTAATACCAAAAGAAAACCAAACGCAACCCAACCGAAAGGGAGATGAGCCTGTAAGCCCTTAAGATCAGACTGACTCATTACCACCTGCTGAAATGGTTGTTAGGCAGTCAAGTCCAGGTGAGTCACATTCTCTCTGACGAGCTTTGACTGCCATTAGGCACCTGTCTAAAGGGTCATCATTTATATAACCTTTAGTTGTATTGTTTGTTTATTAAGCTGTGTACTTTAAGATTTAATTAGTAGACTTTGGACAATTGCTTTTTCTATTTTAGGTATTCATTATGAAAACTGTTTCTAGATTAGAAGGGGATTCCAAACTTTATTTTTATTTCTAACTTGTCCAGAATCGTTCTTCACTTTTCTTAAACTCTCTTAAACTGATATTGTTAAATAATCTCTTTCCCCTTACATTATTTTCAACTTGGCAGTGTTTTCCGTGGAGCTTGAGACACATTAATCAAGCTGTTTGTGTTGCTTTTTCAGTAAACTTAGTACTGAGAGTCTGCAGAATGTATTACGTTCTTTAGCAGGTTGAAATTCAACTTTTCTCGGGACACTTTCAATGAGCTTTGAGTATTTATGATCTCAGTCTGTTGAGGAAATATTAATTTATAAGACAAACTGGTCCAGTTTAGATTTACTGAGAAACAAAAAGAGCAAAACAAACACTTTTCTTCCCCCACAGATGGAGAGTAAACAGGTAGAAGTGGGAGCAGCAGCCCTGAGGCAGGAAATAGATCTGGAAGCTGCTAATGCACAGTTTGCTATAAAATGTGCCACCTGTGAGTTACCGAATGTGAGAGAAAGCAAAAATCCAATAAAAACTCGATTAAAAAAAACACTAGTATTTTATTTGTTAACACTAATAATACAAGCTGAGTATAAACTCATTTCTGGCAGGAATGTAAGGATGTTTGGGCCGGAGAGTGAATCCCAGTAGGAGCTGATGTGGAGGAGGAGAAGTAGATTCACCTGCTGCCGAATGAAACACAGCCGGGCCTCAGTGGAAATATGTAAAGCAACACTATATTAAAGCAGATGCACAAACAGTGTTCGAACAACAGGTGTTTAATTTAGTTCCAGTCATCTCAGATGATGGAAGAGCTGGGATATAATTTAAGGCTGAGGATATAATCTGTTGTTTGTATTAAAAAGGAAACCAGGACAAAAAAATCAAAAGTTTTTTTTGTTTGTGATTCATTTACAATGATGCATGTTTATTTCTGTTTTGGAATTTCTAATCCATGCTAATGTTATAAGTTAAAGAAGGATTCAAGGAGGTTTAAATGCACAACGAAGCCCAAGTCATGGGATCTTTATCCTACATACTGTAGGTTAGTTTCACTAAACGTGCAGCACTAAGCACAGAATAGACACTCAGTTCCTCATCACTCCCATTGCAAACAATTCAAAAAATACTGGCCTCGGGGAAAAAAATGCTTTGTTGCAAGTTGCTGAGCTAGATCATCTACTTGCAGTAGCAGCAGAGCAGCAAGGACAAACGGTCCTCAGTAGAAATACAACTGGAACTATCGGTCTGTTAACACTCGGGTTTTTATCGGTTTATCCTCCGTCCAATGAAGCTTGCTGCTCATAGTCACTCTGGGTGACAGCAGAAATCAGGTAATTAGATTTGAAAGCGTTTAATGACTTCAGACTTCTTTGTTTGTTACTTTACAAAAATAAATACATAAACAAAATGCTTTTTATCTCTTTTAGAAGTAATTTCTCCACAATGTAAGATAACATTTCAGCTGATCAAACAAACTCAAACAGATGAATAAATACAAATGGTGCTTTGGACTCTCACTGCTGTTACAGTAAAGCTGCACCACCTGACGGAGAGAGACTATACTTCCTAGCCATCACTTGTAACACATCTCGGCACCGAATCAGACGTGTTCAGGTTCATAAAAAAATACAGTAGATACTTGTATAATGTGTATTAATATCTATGGATTTTCAGTCTGCCCATTTCTATTGTACATTAACATCTCTTACACAACCTATGCAATATAACATTGTAAAAAAAGATGTTGTATTATGTAAGTTTAACTTCCACAGCTTCAAACTACTGGTGGGGTTTTGGCCTGCAGGTTTGCCATAGGCTGTTTCTTTGAGATGTGTTTTGACTCCACACACAAACTCTGGTAGTTTTCTTCAGCTCAGGCAACAGTTATTGATTGTTTTGGTAAAATTCCTGCCAGGCGGTGGACAAAAAGAGAACAGATAAAAGCCTCTTTTTGGGATGTTTTTCCCCCTTTAGTTGTAATTCACCTGATGTTTACAACCTCCAGGTCCAACCACAGCTGTAGCGACACTGGGTTTTAGAACCACGTCTGTTTCTGGCGCAATGTCAACCTGCTGACAGTTTTCTGATTTCATCAACAAGAGCAAATTAAATTCTTGGATCAAATGTGCAGCAATAACAGAATAATGCTTAAAATGTATATAAACTAATTAAATTGAAAAACAAACTAAACTACTAAACTGTGTTTAAAATGGCATTAAAAAATAATTTTAAACAATTTTACGTGTTCAAAAGCAGTAACACTGGTAAATCAGTATTGCAAGTATGGATGTGGTTACATAAATGACTTTAACAATTTTTTTAATGATTTATTGATGTCATTATCATCAAACCATCTGCCCCTGGCTGCAGATTTGTGATGCTGTGATCACACCGTGCCGCTCTGCACCTTCCAGACAATAATATGATAACCTGGAGAAGCTGCTCCTTTATTTGTTGAGCTGCCTGTGATTGTGCTAATGAGCACATCTGAGCTGATGTGATTGGCTGAGAGTGTATTTATGACTCACCTCACCCTCCAATCTATTTTGCACTTTGCGCTGCCGCACGTACATGAACCACACCCACACAGTCCGTGTGCCTTGTTGGGCTTGCACGATTAAAACCCCCCTAATGTGTTGCACTGTGTATTTTAGCACAGCTTTTTGTGTAAACTGGTAAGAAGTTGGCCATTCAGGTGCCTAGTGGTATCATCTCCCCTTTGTTGCATGATGACGCTGTGGAAACGATGACAGTCCATCAGAGCAGCAGAAAGATGTGTGTGTTGATCAGAGGAAACACTGGAGGGCAGCAGCAGCCTGCAGATCAACAACTTCAGCTTCAAAACCCTGAGACTGAATTCAAGATGAGTCAGCTCAAGTATTTTATCCACAGATTCTCTTTACACAACCTGACTTAAAGATTCCACAGGTAACACACCTTCTTTACAGATAACTAATCAATAATCGATCACAACAGAATGATGCGTCCGAGAACATGTTAGAAAAGCCAGTACAGGGTGTAGTATGTCTGTCAGAAACAGTTTCTGGTGTCCTCTGTATTAACACTGATTTATAATGGGGAAACATTTTTATCAAAATGGCAGCACAAACTGGCCAATCAGCACAGCGGCTGTTTTTATTAAAACACCAACTAGAGGCAGAAGCTACAGCTCTGCACCAAATGCCATTCAAATAAATTACATTTTTAA